CTTTCTACCAAAAGCTACACGATCTCTTGTGTGAGGCAAATGGGGCTGATATTGTGATCTCGGCAGGAGATATGAATGCTAGAGTAGGCCGACTGACTTCGAGGCGCATTTGGGTGGTCCTTTCGGACTAGATTCCCGTCGTTCGGAAAACGTGGAACGGCTGTTGGCTCTATGTTTTGACCACCGCCTATTCCTCGCCAGCACGAACTTCAGACGCTCCAACTGCCGGTACGCCACGCGGCGTCCACCCTCCTCCAACCAGTGACAAACGCAGATCGACCACATTGCTACAAGCCACAAATGGCGGGGGTGCATACAAGACTGCCGATCGTACTGGAGCACTACTCTCGAATCCAATCACGCGTTAGTTTGCACCAAGCTACCCATGTGCTTCGGTGGGCATCTTAAACGTACGACACAGCGGCGGTTAGACTGCGATAAGCTGTCTCAACCAGCATTCTTAGCCGTTTTTCAAGTTAGAACAAACCCCACCTGATAACACGAGTGGGCACTGGCTGCATATCTAGAATGCCCTGCAGTCTGCTGACTTAGTTAGTTGTGGTCTGACACGCCGTGTCGTGACAGCCTGGAGTTCCGCTGAGTCGCTGCATCTTCTTGACGCACGCCGGTCTCTTCCGACCGGCAGTGAGCATAACGTAACCCGGCTTGTAGTGAGACGTGAACTTAACGTAAATCTACGCAGAGATCGCGAAATCTGGTGGTCCCAACGCGCATTAGAAATGGAACGTGCTGCCGCCATGGGAAACTCCCGTGGGATGATCCATCTCATCCGGGTCACCGGTAGGAAAGCTTTGGATGTGAGCGAAACGATCTATGAAGCTGACTGTTCAAAATCAACAGCGACGCCTTGCACACTGGGCGGAACACTTCAAAGCACAATTTAGCAGGCCACCAATGTCAGCTCCTCAAACAGCCATTTCGGCACACGTACCCTGGTCTGCATGAACAGACCCACCCTCCGAGGCCGCAATCCTTCTGTTGATAGGACCGCACTATAGAACTATT